CGATTTATAATTTTGAGTAATCAATTTTATTGAAACAACCGGTATTTTCTAATTCAAATACCGAATTAGCATATTAATACCAAATCGGCATATAAAACAACATTCCAATACCACAATAGCTATAACCAGTAAATAGCGCCATTATGGTTATAACGAACTAAATAACAATTTTATGGTGACTATTTGAACAATAGTTTTTCTTAAATGATTTTATTATTGAACGAAATTTTGTATTAATAGAGTTTTTGATGTTGTTGTAAAATATAAGTGATACGGTTAATGTAAAACGGATAATATCTTAAAAATATAAGTTTTAGTACATATTCGGTATCATTTGTAATCACCATCGGATCATAACTGGTAGCAGAGGGTAGTTTCTTCAACGCAGAAAATGGTAAAAAGAAAAAAATCAAAAGTCAAATAACCAAATGGAAGCTCAATTGACCGTTCAATATGAATTATCTGCATTGAACAGGAAGAAAATAATTAAATAGTCATCGTTTACGCGAAATAAACATCAAGTTACTCAGCAACTTGGAGACGATGAACCCACTTGTAAAAATGAGTTACGTGAATTGAGTAATCAATGAACAAAGACTCAAAACAAAGCTCTCGAGATATTGGTTGAATTATCAAAGAAATACGAGTTTCTAGAATCAAAAGAAAATGTAGGAAAACTCAATGAAAAAATTGAAAAAAAAAAAAAAAAAAAAAGGCGAATTTACGAAAATTATGGAACATGTAAATGAATGGATATTGTGCAATTGTAGTTTAAAATCGAGTTTAAAACTACAAAGGATTGAAAAAGAAAGCTTAAAATGGAAACAAAAAAGCAATGTTATCAATAGTTAAGTACTCAAAAAAGGAATGATCAGTATGAAGATAATAAAGAAGAAAACGATAGGAGCGAAATTGAATCAATCAAATCAATGCTTAGCATGCGTAAAATGGAAAATAAAATAATTGATTTGGATCGAAAGACTGCAAAATTGGGCATGATTTATGGAAACAACAAAAACGCGTCTTTTAACCGGTGTTTAATAGCGATAATAAGAAATAAGATAACAAGAAAATTGGAAAGCTTTATTCTGTGCATGTTTTGATCAAGTCCCAGCAACAACTGAGTATATATTACCTCAGTAATCCCATATTTATATGGAGACGCATTAAAAGCAGTTGAAAGACTTGGGTGTTTGTCATTCGCTTATGAAGCTGCGAAAGATTTGACAGAAAATATGGCAGAACAAGGAGAAAAGTCCTAATGTACTTGGATGAATTGAACAACTTTAAACCTAATAATCCAAAAGGCTTAGAAAAGTTTGCGGATTTGTTAGATGTGGCAGTAACAAACTTAAAAGAAGCAAATAGAACAGATGAACTTGGCGATGGGATATTGTACCATCAACTGCAAAAAAAAGTTCCAGAGATGATGTTAATAAAATAAAAACGATGGGTTTATAAGAACAGATTAAATGAAAATGTTGAATCTCTAAAAAGTTTGTTATTGAAGAAGCAGATTTTCAAATTACAACAACGGAAAATCTACACGGTTTAAAAAAAACCATTGGTATCAGAGCACACGAAGAAAATTCGTCCTTTGGTAACAGTGATCGAAAAAAAAAATTAAATTGGATACAGAAATGTTCTGTTTGCTAAAATGATCATAAAATATAGGAGTGTCCAACGTTTCAAAATCAAAATATTAAAGAAAGATGGGAGATATCTAAAAAAAATAAACTCTGCTTCACATATTTAAATTCTAGCCATTCATCAAAAGACTGCAAGACACAAGAATTTGTTGGGTTGTACTAACGGCTGTACAGATAGTCATAATCATTTGTTTCACACTCAAAAAAAAACATCTAAATGAAAAAATTTCATTAAGTAAAAAGACACGATAATAGAAAATTCTCTCACGTCCAACATCCAATTAAATTCAAAACACGTTATGAACTGCATATCTCTTAGAACGGTACCAGTAATTCTTCGTAATGGAAATAAAAAAGTTGTCGTAAAAGCATAGCTTGAAGATGGAAGTATTAAGATTTATTTGAATACTTATGTAGCGGCTGAGTTTTCACTGCAAAGTAAAACCGAAATGGTAAACCGAAAACTGTAAACATAGTAAATGGAAAAAATAATTCTTTCGAAACGACGCCAGTGGATTTCCAGTCAGAATCTTTGAATGGAAAAACATTAATTACAGTGGCTTTTACAGTAAATAGTTTAACTTGAAACTTAAAAGCAGTTAATTGGGCAAAGTTGTCAAAATTTTTGAGACATCTAAGAAAAATCAAATTTCAAAAGATTGGACCAAAATCAAAAATTGATATTCTAATTGGTGTGGATTATGCTGAGTTTCACTTTGCATTTAAGGAAGTAAAAGGAGGATTTAATAAATCAATGGCTTGAATACCGCCGCTTGGATGGACATATATCGGCGGTACTCGTGAATCTCTTCAAACCCATTTTACGAAAATAACATCTAGTACAATAGATATAGAAGATGCAAATAATGCCATTAAAAAATTATGGGAAATTGAAGGTGACAAAGATATGTAATTTAAAAAAACAATAACAAGCCCAGAAGACTCTACCGGCCCCTTAATATAGTAACTAATTTGCTAAAAACAGAAAACGAAAGATATAAGCTAAAATTACCATGGAAAGAAAATAGACAGCTAGACGATAATTATGCCAAGACTACAAAAACACGGAAAAACGCCTAATGAAAAACAAAAGTCTTGGAAAAGAGTACGATAATATTATTAAGCAGTATCAAGAGAAAGGATACTATGCAGAAATCAATAAAAAGAACCTAGTAGATGGTTGGTACTTACCACTATTTCTAATTCTCCGAATTAGAAAGAAATAATATATGGTGGCACGGACCAAGTTTCCTGAATTCTTCAGAAGAAAAATGACCCCAGAATCATATTGAAGTTACACAATAGGCTTCATTTGAAGTAAAGAAAAATCCAGTATTAATAAATTTTGCATTATCCACTGAAGTAACAAATCAGTTGCTTGATGTAAATAAATTCTCGTAATGGAAAAGATTTGTCAGGATAAACTGATTGGTGCATCGATTTATAGGAAACTGTCAATTTGAAACAGACTTTCGCAAAAAGGGTGTTATAACAGCTGTAAATATTATGAATGCGAAAAAAAAATAATAGCTAAAGCTAAACAAGAAAGCTTTAAAGAAGAATAGAGCAACATTAAAAAAAGAAAACCGATATTAATATCAAGCAAAATTATTTCTTTAAATCCGCAAATTGAAGAAGACGGATTAATGCAATCTTACTCTACAATGTTTAGCATCCAGTCATTTTGTTTATTACTCAATTTCTTGTTTTGTTAACTTACTCAATTTCTTACTCCTGATTCCATTCTCTACCTCTACAAATCTCTTATAACAACAGTATTCCATACAGGGACAACCCTGTATGGAATACTGTTGTTGTATTTAGACTGGTTTTTCTAATGACGCTCATTTTCTTCTCAAAAACGCATTGTAAACGTAGTTGGATCCGCTCTATCTGTTAAGCATGAGCCTCTTTATCATTGTAGTAAAGTTGCATCTCTTTTTTCTTACTACAAATACTATTATGGTTGCAGCTCAAGGGAGCTATCATCTCTAGTTCCATCAACTAAAACTCATTCTCGTTTAACTTGTCATTCAGCAAATTTTAATTTGTTTACAGTATCTGTCCCTGCATGCTCTAAAAAATTTTATTCGACTAGTTTTTTTCCACACAATTCCACCCTTTAGATCTCTCTCCCTTCTTTATGTTTTCCTGACTCATGCAACCTACAACTTTTTAAATCATTTTTCCTAGTAACTTCCAATTTATTAGTGGTTGCTTGCAGCCTTGTTGGAAGTGAATCAGAAAAAAAAAAAAAAATGTGGCAATAGTAAGATTTTTGTATAATTCCTCCCAAGTCAAATTTTTTCTTTTGATTCTTCTAACTTTCTTTAAAAAAAGTTTTTTGTCATATTCCACACCGGAGATGACAAAATAAAAATTAAGTTAAGCAAGGAGTACTTTTAAATTTAATGATTCTTCCGTATTACAAATTTTTCTACAGCTTCTTCCAATGAAATCTATGCTCTTATATTTAAGTTTATTAATTTATTACAAGCTTTATTTTTTTTTGGTTTAGTTAACTATAAGAGCATTGAAATATAAGAGCATGAATTTCATTAGAAGAAGCTGTAGAAAAATTTGTAATATGGAAGAATCATTAAATTTAAAAGTACTCCTTGCTTAACTTAACTTTTATTTTGTCATCATCGGTGTGGAATCTGACAAAAAAACTTTTTTAAAACAAAGTTAAAAGAACCAAAAGAAAAAATTCGACTTGGGAGGAGTTAGTTAGGATCTTACGATTGCCACTTAAGCAATATTAAACAGTCTTTAAGTAATTTGAGAAATAATTTTAAACTTCGTTTATTACATGATGTGGCTGTTAAAAGCAAAAAAAAAAGATAATGGTAAAAATTCAGGATAAAAAACAATCCTTATCAAAAATTTTTAACAATCCATCTGACTTTGTAGGTATTTCTATTCAACATCGTCAAAAAATTTCCTTTGAAGTATCTTTGGAACGTGCACAAGTAGTACAAATTGATCAAATAAGTGGAAAACGAGCTATATTCTATGTCAAGTATGATAATAAACCTAATGAACTATAATCGTTTCTTTTATTAATTGAATTTGAAAAAGGAAATTATATTCTTTGTAGCAAGGATCATGAGGTTTTTTTTTTATTAAATTTAATTTTATGTTATAGTTTAAACTTATTTTATTTCCTTTATCAGTAAAACCAATAAAAATATGTTCTCATCTGTTTTCATTGCATTTAAATACAATAATTTTTATCTTTTTTAATAGTATTAATTATATTTGATGTGTTTATATGTACCCATTTTGTTTAAATAAAGGGTATTTTATTTAAACAAAATGGGTACATATAAACACATTTTTTATCTTTTTTTTTCATCAAAAAATCCACCCTTTGCTTTCCTTACTGTACAAACAAGTTTTGGCATACGTTTGATTAAATTATCCTAATAAATTGAAGAAATATTATTCTACACTCGTTGCAAAATTGACCATAAATGAGTTGTTGATGAAGGAGACTCTTTTTTTACCTCACGATCCAGTTGTTCCCAGAGTAACTCCATTTGGTTGAGATCAGGGGATTGTGGGTGCCATGTCATAACTTAGAGTTCTCCACGAGCTTCCTTTTTTTGCAAATAGTTTGTACAGTATTTAAATGTTTTGGGTTATTATCGTATTGTAAGGTGAACCCGTGGCCAATTAGACGCTTTCCACAAGGCACGGCATGTCTACATAATATCTTATGGTATCCGTTCTTATCGAGAATTCCATTTATTTTCACAAGATTATCGACCTAATTAGAAGCAAAACAGCCCCAAACCATTACTGAACTTCCACCATGTTTGACAGTAGGATGTATACACTGTGGATGAAATTTTTCAGTTTTTGTTTGTTGCACATAAATCCGTCGCTTTGTTCCAAAAACAAGAAATTTAGATTCGTCCGCCCGCAATACATTTTGTCAGTCTATATCTTTCCAACTTAAATGTGTTAGAGCCCATTGAAGTCTTTTTTTCTGATTTATTGCTTTTAGAAGAGGTTTTCGAACAGCTATTCTTTAAGCCAACAGTTTTCAAGCAACGTCTTGCAGTTCTTTCTGAAATAGCTTTATTATGAACAGCATTGAAGTTAGATGTTACTTCTTGGGCTGTTAATCGTTTATTTCGTTTATATGAGAGTATAATTGACTTGTCTTTAGCCTTTGATATTTTGGAGGGACGTCCAGTTCTTTTCCTATTTTTATTTGTACCAGTACATTTAAACCGACGAATAGCATCACTCATTGTTGATTGCGGTATTTTCAACAATTTTTGAATATATCTAGTAGAATGACCATCATTTGCCAGAGTAACAACTGAAGAACGTGTTTCTAGTAATAAATTACATTTTTTTGACATTTTATATTATTTTCTAAAAATTTCATCTAAAAATAATAAAAATGCACATTTATAAACTGGAAATTAAAAAATAAATTAAATTTAATTCAGCTATATAAAGTATTTTCTAAATTTTTTTATTAATCCAATATATTATATTAAATTTAACAAAATTATGCTTTGATGACAAAAAAACAGTTAAATTTTATTTCCAAATTTTTTACTAAGTATGTTCGAACATGTTTATAATACGAATATGAAAAAAACAGATTTTACAATACAATATTAAAAACACATCAATACATCTTAATCGAATTATTTTATGACTTATAAACAGTTTTAAAATTTAATATCAGTTATTGTAGGTTAAAAACTATTAAAACTTTAAGTGACCGGAATCTTTTGCCGGGCAGTGTATATATATGTGGGTTGAATAAATTTGTTAAAATAAACTATAGATAATATGTTATTTTTACTTATTTTGATTTTTGGATCTAGGTTTTCACATAATAATTCATCGAAAATTTTCGTTATTGCCATGCAAACTTTTCGAGCCCCTCAAAATGAGGGGATTGTATATATATATATATATATATATACATATATATATATATATATATATATATATATATATATATATATATATATATATATATATATATATATATATATATATATATATATATATATATATATATACACACACATTTTTTTTTTTTTTTTCCAAGTTGATTAAGGTGTTCCAAGAAGTTCTTAAATTAAAAAATTATTTCTTAAAAGCATTTAATAGAAAATTCATGCCTCCTTCCCAACCGATATCGCAAAACTTCCCAACCGATATCGCAGAACCACGGATCTTACGTTTCTGAGACAAGTGCGCTACCACTGCGCCACGGCTGTTTATATATATATATATATATATATATATATATATATATATATATATATATATATATATATATATATATATATATATATATATATATATATATATATATATATATATATTTATATATATATATATATATATATATATATAAATATATATATATATATATATATATATATATATATATATATATTTATATATATATATATGAATAAACATATCATTACAACCTAATATACACCAGTGTATAAAGTTTTCATTAGAAGAACAACCACAATTCTATCTATGAAAATAAACCCGTTATATATTACTAACATATATATGTGTTAAGTTTTACAAAACTTGAAGCTTATAAAGTCTATAAGAATACAGTATTTTAAGTTTACTAAGAAAATACAAGATTCATACAAGACTTTTATTAGAACTAAAGTTTACAAGATTATTTTTTTATATTATCATCCTTTGTCAAAGTCAAGTCGTGATGCTGCTTTTACATTACATTGTTTTTTGTTCCTAAGCAAGTAGTTTTTACTTTCTCGCCTTTTTTTATCTTTTGCGATCAGTTCCTTTTGTTGGTTGTTTTCTTTTGTTTTGTTGGTTTCTTTGGGTTTTCTTTTCATCTGAAAAACGAATTTCATTTATGATTGGAGTATCAGTCAAAGTCCTTGTTTTTAATTGCCTACTTTTAACACTTCTTTTTCTAGCAGATGCGTTCGGGTAAGGTTTCAAATCTTCAGGTGAGAGTAATGAAGCAATGCTTGGTGACACTTTGGTCGAAAAACTTGTTTCATGATGTACTACAAGCAATTCAGGCTCCATGCCATCAACATGTACTACAGTCATTTCAGGTTTCACAAGAATTGTGTTTATTACATTTGGAGCAGCACAATCTGTAACTGATGATGGTAAATATTCATCACCTTTAAAAATATCTGGATTAAATGGCTCAATGCCAGCTAGTTGATATTCTCTCTGTATATTTGTAACAAAACTGAAGATTCATGAGAACAGTTTGAATACCTCACAAAATGCTTTATCCATTATATAAAAATGTCTGAATTCATCCAACCAGAAGAATTTGCAAATCCCACGCATCCAGGAGGTCCTTCCTTTATCATGGGATCATAAGACTCGACTATAGAAAAACCAAATAGTAGAGGAATAGAGTTTCCAATTGCATTTGAAGGACAACATACAGTTACTAATGTTCCTCGTTCTGCAGATGTGATTCTTCCTACTTGTTTACTTCCTTTACCTGCTAACACTTTTACTGACTTTTGTACTGTTGTTAAACCATTTTCATCAACATTATATATGCAATAAGGATCAAACTTATATCGATTTCTTACGGTTTTTAGATTTTGGCATTCTCCTACAGCGTGTTGGTTAAAGGCAGTTGATCAAGCGAAGCTAGTTGCTTCAGGTGTTCGTAAAGACAACTCTGGTTGTCTTTTCATAAAACCTTGCAACCAATCAATCCTTGCAATTTTATTCTTGATCCATGATGAAGGGCAGATCTTATTATTCTTTACAGCAAACTCGTATGCCAATAATTGTGTTGGCTTAGTTGAAAGTCCATAGTTCATTTTTGATGCAATTAGTAAATAACTTGACAAACTTTTTTCATTTTCTGCAGTAAAAACTTGTTTATTATTGTAATTAGGCTTGAAAGATTCATTTGGATTGAGATTCTTTTTATTATATTATTTTTTTAAAGTCATTCGATTTATGCTAAACTTGCGAGCTACAACAATCACTGGTCTGCCCTCTAGCTGCTTTCATTGTATCACATGATATAGCGACTTTGTCTGTTTTTTTATTCTATACCTAACCATTTAAATATCTGAAAATTAAAAAAAAAAAGTAAAATAAAATGGTTGTTTAAAAAAAATATTTTATTTAATAATATCATGTAAACTAATTGTAAAACTTATGTAAAACTAAAAACAAATGTTATTAATATTAGTTTTTAACACTATTACATTATAATAATGAAATTTTAAAAATTTAAATAAAGATTTTTTATTCGTCATAAGTTAAAATGTGTAAAATTTAAACAAAAAATTTAAGTCTTATAATATAAGTTATATGGGGCACTTTGATCCTCCGATCAATGATCCCCACATTGTCAACGATCAATGTGCCCCATTAGGTACAGTTGATATATTGATGCCAATATCTTTTTTAAATACAGTAACCAACTGAATAAAACAAATTTATTATAAACTTAGCACATATGAGTTTACAATGAATTGGTTGTATAGTCATACGGAAATCTAATTAAAAATATATTTGAATTTGTTTACAACTTTCAAAAACCTCTTTTCATGATGAAAAACGTTTAAATTTTCTTAACGTTGAAGTTAATCTTATCAAAAATTATTACGATTAAGCATTTAAGGGTAGTATAATGGTTAATTAAGTTGTAATCTCTGTTAAACTAAGGCAAAAGTAAACGAGTAAAAGCTAAAAGATCATACTGCCCCGGCGATCAATGCGCCCTCATCTTCCCTACAAAAAAAAAATTCTAAAAGCATATTCTTTATAGTTTAAGGGTTTATAGTCACCGAATTTTACGGTACATGTAAAATTCGGTACACGTAAAATTGCGCTCGCAAATCTAAAACACGGTACTTTTTAGATACAAACTTTTTTGTGAGCGGAAAGTGGCAGTAATCAACTTTTTATCATTAATTACTATTAAATCAATTGTGTTGATATTTTCGTAAGGATCAAGAAAGCACAAGACTACAAACTTCAAGTCTTGGGGTGGCTCTGGCCCAACTCAGTAAAAAGAGACTAAAAAAAAGCAAAGAATCAATAAAAACAGCAAAATTTTGGTGCAAAATACTTAAATTTACAAAAATAAGTTTTAAAAAAAGATTTTGTGACAAAGTTTAGATTACATTAGAAAACCTTAGAAATTTATTAAAATCAAAAAGGAAATCTTAATTTTAAAAATTAGATTTTAAAAGATACCCAGCAAACATGTAAGCGTTGAATCAACGTTGAAAACCAGTCGCAGCTTAGAAAAAGCGTTACAGTCACAAAAACAACGTGCTTTCAACGTTGAATCAATGTCTGTTTTTGTATACTAAATCGCGTAT